TATCTTGATTGATTTTGTTATTATCCTCATCATTATTATTATCACCATTTTATGACTATTACTAAAGTCGTTAACATTATAGTTATCATTATTGTCGTCATCACCATCCTTTTTTATTATTATCATCATTATCATTGTTATTATCAGTATCATTATTATCATTCTTCATTCTCATTGTTATTATCTTTACCATTATTATTATTATCATTATCATCCTTAACATTATCATTATTATCATCATCATCATTATCATATGTTGGCGGAAAATATTAGAAATGTTATCTATTTATCTTCTTTTCCTCTCCTTTACCTGTCTCCTTCATCCGCCACGTTTATCAGGTCTTCCTCTTAATCTCTCTTCCTCCCCTACACCTTAGAGCTCTCTTCTTTTTACTGTTATCTCCCTCTTCCCTTGTTTCTTCTTCTATGCACTATTTTTCTTTGCACTGTAAGTCCCCTTTCTCTAAGTCTCTGGCTACTCACTTCTGTTCTCTGATTCTTGATTTTGCTTTTTTTTTTCCTTCTGTTTTTCTTTACGTTTTTTCTCTCTCTCTCTTTTCCACTTTTTTTTCTCTCTTTATCTTTCTCTTTCTTTTCTCTTTCTCTCTCTCTCTCTCTTCTCTCTCTCTCTCTCTCTCTCTCTCTCCTCTTCTCCTCTCTCTCTCTCTCTCTCTCTCTCTCTCCTCTCTCTCTCTCTATTTCTCTCTTCTCCCTCTCTCTCCTCTCTCTTCTCTTTCTCTCTCTCTCTCTCTCTCTCCTCTGCGTCTCTTTCTCTCTCATCCTATCTCTCTATCTCTATCTCTCTTCTCTCTCATCTCTTTCTCTCTCCTCCTCTCTCCCTCTCTCTCTCTCTTTCTCTCTCCTCTCTCTCTCCTCTCTTCTCTCTCTCTCTTCTCTCTCTCTCTCTCATCTCTCTCTCTTCCTTTTCTCCTCTTTCTCTTTCTTTCTCTTCTCTTTCTCTCTTCTCTCTCTCTCTCTCTCTCTCTCTCTCTCTCTCTCTCTCTCTCTTTCTTCTCTCTCTCTCTCTCTCTCTCTCTCTCTCTCTCTCTCTCTCTCTCTCTCTCTCTTCTCTCTCTCTCCTCTCTCTCTCTCTCTCTCTCTCTCTTCTCTCTCTCTCTCTCTCTCTCTCTCTCTCTCTCTCCTCTCTTCTCTCTCTCTCTCTCTCTCTCTCTCTCTCTCTCTCTCTCTCTCTCTCTCTCTCTCTCTCTCTCTCTCTCTCCTCTCTCTCTCTCTCTCTCTCTCTCCTCTCTCTCTCTCTCTACACACACACACCCTTTATCTAATCTTTTCATCTATTCTCCCTATCTATATATTTATCTACCTGTCTTTCTATTCGTATATATCACTGACTAATGCAGGTTTCATCACCTGTTCAATAACATGATATTATGATTCATGTCTAATCTATTAAGTTAGCATTGTCGTTTGTTGTTGTTAGTTCGTTGTTTGTTTGTTTGTTTGTTTATCTGTATAACAGGGTTGCCGACGAGGACTTTTGATTGTACTGGAATGCATTATATTAAATAATTTTGTTATTGATTCGAAATATTCATTATCGAAGAAAGAGAAGAGAAAGTAAGAGAGGGGGAAGGAGAGAAGGGTTGATAAGGATGGAGAGAGAGGGAGGGATAGAGAGAGAGAGAGAGAGAGAGAGAGAGAGAGAGAGAGAGAGAGAGAGAGAGAGAGAGAAGAGAGAGAGAGAGAGAGAGAGAGAGAGAGAGAGAGAGAGAGAGAGAGAGACAGACAGACAGACAGACAGACAGACAGACAGACAGACAGACAGACAGACATAATTCATTTGTTCGAGCATATTCGAGTAAACATTCATGAAATATAAGCAGTAGATGAAAATAACACTGTTGTTATCAATAGCTAAAGGAATTTCTCATTTTCCTCTGGCCATTTAAATTCTTTTTATGGCATTTTTATAGATTCATAAAACCAGCATATGAGTCTTTCGCTCTATAGATAGATTTTTTTTCTTATTTCATTTTTTTTTTTTTTACCTTTGTTTCAATATGCAAAACATGATTTAATTAATTGTTACAGTGGTTGTTATTGATGGCGTTAGTATTATTAGACAAAGAGTTTTTTTTAATCAGAATTAATTAATATCATTATCAACGCAAGCCTTAGTCTGTATGCCTGTCTGTGCCTTTTGTCTACTGTCTGTCCCTTCTCTCTCTCTCTCTGCTTCTGCCCTTTCTCTCTCTCTTCTCATCTCCTTTTTCTCGTTCCGTCTCCTCTCCTCTCCCTCTCTTCTCTCTCTCTCCTCTCGCCTCTCTTCTCTCTCCTCTCTCTCCCTCTCTCTTCTCTCCGTCTTCCTCCTCTTCTCCTCTCCTCTCTCTCTCCTCCTCTTCCTCCCTCTTTGCCCCCTTTCCTCTCCTCCTCCTCTCTCTCTCTCTCATCTCTCTCTCTCTCTCTCTCTCTCTCTCTCTCTCTCTTCTCACCTCTCGCTCTCTCTCCTCTCCTCTCCTCTCTCCTCTCATTCTCTCTCTCT